CAAGTCATATAATAATGAAGGTATATTGGAGGATTTTCCCAAATTTTATGAAAGAACCTGTCCACTTTTTGAGAAAAACTCTCTGGTCTTATTTGACCTATTACAGGAATGATTAACACTTGGAAAGACCAACAGTCTTGATGATCCACCCGGAAGTAGAACATTCTCCTATATACCTTTAACATTGAGAAAAAAACATTCTCATCTTTTGCGTTCTTTTTTGAACACTTTTAAGAGCCCACTAAGTCATTTTTTGGGCTGAGAGCTGATTGTCAGATTGAATGAGGGTGGGCCTCTCTTTTTCACTTTTCTGTCTGAAATAGATGTCAAGACAGAGGCCAAAAATACAAGTATGTTAAAACTAGTAGTTGTAGGTCAAAAGTTCCCTAGCTGCAAATATTGAACATGAAAGTGACAAATGGTGTGTGCGATACATCACGAGCGACACTAGACTAATACTAATATAATTCTTTGCTGTGTCATTGATTTTATGCCATTTTGAAGTCATGCAGTAAACCCATGTTGTAAGGAGTCATGTCTGGACGCTGATCTGTTTGTGTCGTTAGAGCAAAAGATCAGAAGACAAAGCCGCTTCGACCAAGGGCATGAGACAATGTCCTGATCCCAGCAGGTGGAGCACATCTGTTCATTCACGGGTGGCCCTATAATTTTAGCAGCAGCACTACTTCAGACTCGGCCAAAAAATTGGACGGAAAAATCTCTGTCAAAGTGGATTATTGCGTTTGACTCAATACATTTCCAAGCACTTTACTTTCCAATGCACCATAACAGCAGCAGAACCTGAAAACCGTTAAATCGCAATGTACGGTTGTAAGCCTATTTTATGTACAAATATAAAATTGACTCCCAAGAAATATGTCAAAATGAATCCACTGCATAATGTCACAGGTTCTGGCTGATGCTTTGATGTTTCTTTCCAAAAAACATTGACTTTGGGAATTGAAAGGTTTCATTCTTTCAGCTATAATCTTATTGGACTCGTACTGTATGTATATAAGTGATATGATGTATGTTGCCTTTTCCCGACAGTTCTTGAGGCTGTCATTTCTGCGACAATTCCTATGCTTTCAATTTTTCTCTTTTACATAGACTCAGGAAAATATTGCAGTATTGATCTGATATTGACACCAATTACATAGATTGACATGTAGCTATGAAGCAATGTGTGTTTAAATTTCACTATTGTATATATAGCATTAAAGAAGCCTTGATGTTTTTGAGAATTTATCATTCAGTATATATTTATGCTGTGTATTTTTGGATTGATTGCTACTGTTATTCTTTAGATATATACTAAGCAATTGAGCTCTGGTGTGTGTCGTCTGGTGCACACTGGGGTAGTCTTGCACAGTTTTTCCTATGTGGTTTTACTGCAGATGGCAAATAAATGAATCTGAATCTCACCCAACCAGGTCAGCTAGGACCTATAGGGAATGAAGCCCCAGGCAGCATCCTAGGTTCATACGAGCACACCACGGTGCCCACTCAGAATGTAAACAAATAAACAATCACAACGGTTAATTGCAGAGTGCAGAACTTCCAATAATTTGCAAAGCTGAACAGAAGTTGCTGGGATTACAGATGCTGCCACACAACAAGTGCAAATGTGACATTGAGTCCGGTGTTAGGCTCAAACAGGACTGAGTTTAACCTAGATCTTAGCACTGTCGGACTTTGAGGCCTGTCTCACATTTTCAGGAAGGTTTCAGGAGAAATTCAGTCATAATGATTCATGGATCTGTAATCCTTTCATCAAATATAGTAAATGTTGCAATATTTTTATTCTAATTTTTGTTTTATGTTATAATTGTTAAATCTTTTTGGTTGTTATAGAGCCACAGTCACTGCAGCAGTATATTGTAGATTTTGTTTTTCCACCTGAGAAAGTAAACGCTGTAGAAGTCCAATAATACCGAGCTTTGTGGCCTTTGGCTTTTGTCGCCCCATCACCTCACAATCTGGGAGTGTTGCTTCTGGTGTGACTCATTGCACAGCTGTACCTGAAATGGCCTCTGGGGGGCGTCACCTTCGAGGGTCAGTGCACTGGGCTGTGATTGGACGAACAGGCGTGTGTAAAAACCCCTGAAGCTTGAAGACTTCCTTTCTGGACAACCCAATTAGAGCTCAGGTGCACAGTTGGAGCAATTGAAAACTTGCCATGCCTCAATTCCCTCGGGAGCTATATTTGTGTATTAAGTTATTGTTTTTCCACAAATTGATTTTATTGTAGCGCCCAACAACAACAACAACAACAACAACAACAACAACAGTGTGACATTGCAGGAGATGGAGTCAAATATTTTATTTATAGTCATTGGATAATATGTACTATTGTTAAATAAAAAACATCCTCTAAAGAACAGTGAAACCTGAAGCCTGATTGTGTCAGATCTGAAATGCCAAACTGTGGTAGTACTGGGATGGGAGACCTCAGGGCTCGCTAGGTGTCACAGTGAGGGAGCTGCAGCTGCAAAAAGTTCAATTCACCCACATTGCCATTTTATGAGTCTGGTGTGATTGGTGGTGGAGTTTGGAGGGGCAGATGTCCCAGATTGGCAGCCATGTATTAAAGTGTCCCAAAAAGTGCTTTAAAAGTAATGCATTATAATTATTTTTACACATGACAGAGGAGCCACCCTTTCCCTCAGCAACAGTATTGTTTGTAAAGTGTGGAACAACATGAAGTTGTTATATTTCTTGTTCCAAAATGTAATGGTTCTTTATTCTAACACATGCTGTACCAATTTGTTGGGTTCCTGTGTATTTGGTTCAGACTCCCCCCTCCTTTTCTGTTTTTCAGGGCTTGTGTGTGGACAGGGGGCATGGCTGGCTCATCTGCTGCTGTGAGACTTTCACATCTGCATCTTTTTCTCTCATCTCCCTGTCCTTAAAGCTGTGGTTCAGACTCCACTTCTTTGCCAGATTATCCCATGTCACAAGTCAGTGAACTTCTTCGGCTTGTGAGTTTTTATTCGGACTTACTTTGTTTATTTTATACTTTCCAATGCTTCTTTTTTTAAATTTAGATATAGACTTTTAATGGTCCAACATACTACCATGGTTCAACAAACTACCATCACCAATCTGTGTTATAAGAAACTGAATGGTGATATTTTAAACCATAAACATATTGCAAAAGGTTTTGAATTATCGACATGTACAAAAACAAACCTTCGGCTCTTTGAGTGGGTGATAGTTCTCTATGCATGTTTTGACATCGTCCCTGCAGCGCTCGGTGTCAATGAAAAGAACATTCCCATTCCAATAATTTGCTCGGCTTGTTGGTGCCTGTGGGGAAGTCATAAGCATAGAGCGTAAGAAGATTGAGAAGAAGGTCGTATTGATTGCTATTGTAACATATGGATCCCAGAGCACTGTGTTTGTGGTGGGATTCTGAACAGGCAGCGCGGCATTGAGGCTTGAGCACAAGTCCGGAGAAAGACTCTGAAATCAATGTCTGTCTCACACTGGAACTTTATCAATTTCTCTGTTCATATGAAGTGGTTTCAGGGGCCAGAGGGAGAAAATTGTGTTCTTCAGAGCAGCCACATTTCAAAGGAGTCATTGCTTTACAACTATGTTACTGAAATTGAAGAGCAAGATTTGGCCCAAGAATTTATAGTTTTTCTTCATTCTGTGACCCAGTATTTTCCCATAATTCAGGACAAAATGGGCAAGGTTGGCAAGTTTTTAGATTCGTGTTGGCTTTTCAGCGAAAAGAGGTGACGGTTAGTTTTATAAAGTCACAGCACAGTGCACCCAGTACACTAGGGATCACATTATAATGGACTTTATAAGTTTATAATCTTTATAAATTAAAGCCCAAACTTTAGTCTTGACGCAACTTGTTATACTGACTATATATCTATTGTCTCACGTTTTATAACCTTCTTCAACTATGAAAACCGTTTGGCGCGCAGTGTTCGCGCCTTGGCAAAAAGATGACATTGTAGAGTTTTTAGTTATTCCTATGTTTTTGTGCAGTGAGAATGAGGTTTGCTTAAGTATGATCTTTTTATATCCTACTATAGGACCATAACGCAGACAAAACTGAAATGATTGTCTTTGGTCCCCAGAAACAAAGAGAGAGCGTCATCTGTCACCTACAGTCTCTCTCCCTAAAACCTTCAAACAAGGTCAGAAATCTAGGGGTAATACTGGACTCAGACTTAAATTTTAATAGCCACATCAAATCAGTAACATCAGCAGCTTTTTACCTCCTAAAAAACATTGCCAGGATCAAAAACATAGTGTCTAAAGCATAGTGACATGTTAGTCCCATATGAACCAGCCAGGACTCTGAGGAGCACAGGGACTGGACTCCTGTTAGTGCCCAGAGTCAGAACTAAACATGGGGAGGCTGCTTTTCAGATTCATGCTGCTAAAATCTGGAACAATCTTCCTGAAGATGTGAGACAGGCCTCCTCTCTGACAATGTTTAAGACAAGGTTGAAAACAGTTCTGTTTAGCTGTGCATACAACTGAGGGATTTTATATTTTTATATTTGTATCTTTCTTTTTAATGTACTGTGATTATTTATGATTTTAATGCTTTCTTATTTTGTTCAGCACTTTGAATTGCCTTGTGTATGAATTGTGCTTGCCTTAAAACCTTAACTTAACTTAAGTTTATAACTTAACTTATAAACTTGCCTTGCCTTGCCATGCCTTGCCTAGGCCTTTTTGATGTAAGATAAAAGTCTAATTTGAACCCTTTTACCATACCAAATCCAAGGGTTATTAATAAATACGACTATCATATTCTCTTGATACCATTTCCAAGAAGTTCTTCCATGTTCCCACCGCACACAAGCACCCAACCCAAAATTCCTGCAACATCCTGGCAGATAAACCATCTCTTGCACACTAATATCCACGCCTCTCCGTTGACACAAAAGCAGTCAATCCTCCAGCCTGTTGAGACCCCCTCCCCGCTCCCCCTGACAGCTCCAGCACTTCTGCCTGGTGCTGACAGCCCAATGTCCTCATCCATCCTCATCCAGGGGCCCATCGCCGTCATCAGTCCCAGCTACATCTCCCCAAAGCGGGATCTTCTCACCCTGAGCCCTGGCAAAAGCAACAGGGCCTTGGAGATTCCCCGCAGAGGCTCTGTCAATGTGTCATCATCATCAGAGCAGCCAGTTGGCTCCATGACTGCACATGTGTCAGCAGAAATGAAGGCCATTTACTGTAAAGCAAACGAGTTAATTGGAATCAAGTCGTTTGAATAAGACAAAATTGAACGTTTGTCTGCTACAGCTACGAGCTATGGCAAACATGGATCTTATTTCAAACATTTTAGATCTCAAAATGTATCTCAAACTTTTTATAAGAGATACCATTTGTCTTGAAAACGCCTTTTGTGATTGTTGCTTGCTTGAAACTTATTTTCATCAAAAAGCTGACACATTACCCCAATATAATACAAATAATCCTTTTTATAAAACTATTGCAATAACGATGTCACCTGAACAATATTTATCACAAAAATCACACTCTAAGAAAGGAAAGGAGAAGGGAAATGAATCTTATCTTTATATATAACATTCAATACAACACCAAGGTACTCGATTGACTGTGTTGGTAATCCTACTCCTCTGATTCACGTCACGTTTTTTTATTCTAAAGCACCCAATGAAGTTTTTTAATAATTCCTCCTGTCAAAGGGGGCTGCCCCACTGACGACATCCAAAGCAGTGATTCATGGGATGTTTCTCTCACGACACCATCCTCACGCTGGCTCTTCTTATATATCGTTTTTATCTTTTTTTATCAGGTCCATAAATAATAGGACATTACTACAATACTGGATTCAAACAAAACCAGACTTACCAGAGAGAGGACAGAACATAGGCTGTTGTCAAATGACTAACAATCTTAAGAAAAAGAACACACACCGCTGAGCTTAGCAACACAAACAAAATGTGTGTGTACAGGGCATTGGTGATTTGGACCAGTCCAGTTTATTGTTAATGTGAACACAAAACTGTGTCCATGAGCACTTCCTTATTGGGCTTGATTGTTCATCTATATGCAGTTCGTGTTTGTGCTTATGGATTAAGATCAAGAATGTGAGAAAAGCTCTGATGCTGCATCACAACAAAGGCTGCTACACTCACAGTGGGGGAGATTAATTTAGTGGTTCTTGCTGTTATGAACCTGCCTGTATGTTTCCTATGTGGTTATCATCTATGCACACATATATTTTGATGAACAAAAGGCAATGATCATATCTTTATTCTTGCTTCTTTATTGACACACACAAACACAGAGTAAGAGCAGTTTTCAGTAGTTCTCCATCAGAGCGGCGGTGTCTGCTGCTTCACCCCAGTTCTTCAAGGATCGCTATCAGGTCTTGTATATTTCTCGCTCTACGAGTAGTGGTAACACCAGCAGCAGCGGTGGCGGCTGTAGCTGTGGTGGTGGTGGTAGCTGTGGTGGTGGTAGCTGTGGTGGTGGTAGCTGTGGTGGTGGTAGCTGTGGTGGTGGTAGCTGTGGTGGTGGTGGTAGCTGTGGTGGTGGTAGCTGTGGTGGTGGTGGTAGCTGTGGTGGTGGTCTCGCCAGAGTCTGAAGTGGAGACTGAGTCCTCGCAAGCTACACGTTGGTGAGCCGTATCCCCCTGAAACAGAAACATTCTGATGGTCATGGTCCATCAGAACACATTCAGTACTGTGCTTTTATCACTTAAAACACTGAAAACCTGACGAGTTTATGAGTATTTCCTCTTCCTGTTTTTTACATGATTAAACATCATCAAGCATGATTAAGCATCAGTGTCCATACGTATGTCGTTTGTAACTTTAATCAGGACAGTCTCTGTGCAATAATGTGTTATTATTATTTCTAATAAAATTAATACAATTAGGCAAAGCCTTGGATTCACCATTGTGAAAGCATTAGGCCTTTTGGCCTAATAATAAGGCTTGGCTTTAAACAGTCCTCTTTAGTTTAGCATATGGTTAGGAAGGTAAGACTCAGGGAAGGCTAAAAATCTTAGACTCAATAAGTCTGCGTAGGGAGTCAGTTTGCTGGGAGAAGTATGGTAACTTGAGCACTATCCTCTCCTCCTTCCTACTGTATCTGTTTTGCATTAATAGGATTTTCACTGTAGTCTGTTCATTGCTCTTCACCTCTGAATCCGGCCCCCTCCATCTACACCTGCGGACTGCCCCGACCCGCCTGCTGCTTCAGTCCTGCACTGGACCTGTCCACGTCCTGCGGCCGCTGCGTGGCCCTGGTTCATATTCTGCAGTTTAGGTCCTGTTTTTTTTTTGAGTTTTACCTTGCCAATGAAGACGATGACAAAGTCTGGGATTGTGTCTTAAATTCAGACAGAAGACATGTTTTATTGTCAATGGTAGAGACAGCACGAACAACACGAACAACAGAATGCAAGTGTATTATACAGAGCGGAGGCATGGAGACCTCCAATCAGCAGCTGCCACAGTGCCAGCAGAGATAGTCAAAACATGAAGTGGAAAAGTACAGGCTTCTGCACATTGATAGAAGGATGAGATTAACTTTAACAAAAGTTGCTTAAAAGTGTTATGAAATCTCACATTCCCCCCTCTGGTCACACATTCACGTGTGACCATCAGGATTGATAAACAGCAACATAACATCATATCTCAATACTTAAACTCGGTACTTCACTCGGTACTTCAAAAAACTCAGAACTCGGAATACTCATAAAACATGTTCAGATCTTTCAGAAAAACTTGTCAACAATCTTCAGTAAAATACCAAACTTCATCAGTCGATAGTTCCAGATATTGCTTTGAAAACAGTCTCTCCCACTTCTCTGTGTTGGTTTCTTCAGGCTGCATTTGTGTCGAGCCATGAATTCTTCTATGACGTGTCTTTCAATCACACGTTTCAGCTTTAGTGTCCAGATTCAGCAATCCAATTCAGTCCAAATTATGTCCAAATTCAGAAATCCAATTGTTCCAAATTATGTCCAAATTGTGTAATACAATTTTTCCAAATTATGTCCATGCAAAAGAGGACGATGGTATTGTCCATGTCTCAGCAGCTCACAGCCTGACTGGAATCAGGGGCTGTGCAGATTGTCCAAGTGCTGATCCAGATGCATTCTCTTGAGGTTTCTCAGTTTTGGCTTGAAAAAAAAAAACACTTGTTTGTGTAAAAAAAAAAGTAGTCTTCTGTTCTCTAGATGTTACAGACAAGGCCCGCATCCTTCCACCACCTGAAGAAGATGACATAGTCTGGGATCGCGTCTTTCATTCAGACAGAAGACATGTTTTATTGTCGATGGTAGAGACAGCACGAACAACACGAACAACAGAATACAAGTGTATTATACAGAGCGGAGGCATGGAGACCTCCAATCAGCAGCTGCCACAGTGCCATGTAGCTTGGCCTTCAGATAGACACAACAAGGGAAAAGTACTGGCTTCTGCACATTGATAGAATGATGAGTTTAACTTTAACAATAGTTGCTTAAAAGTGTTATGAAATCTCACACCAATATAGGTCTGTTGGACAGTTAGTGTCTAAGGCTGTATTCAGACCTGAAAAGTCCTTTGCTCCGCTTGCTTGATCCGAATCAAAAGCGGACCAAACTTTTTTCATTTTCTCCGGTTCGTATTCAGACTGTCCTTTTTGCAAGTGAACTTTTGTATATAAACATATTGACACGTGTGACGATCGGCGCTCCTATTGGACAGCGAGAGCTCACGGAGGATAGACACGGAACCGGAGGAAAACATTGAGGGCTCGTATGTGCAGCATGTCTGCTCTGCCTATGTTTGCTCTTTTTAGAGCAAAACCACCTTCAGCAGCAGCTCGTTCATATTTTTAAAAGTAGGCTCAAGACGCACCTTTTTAGAGTAGCTTTTGATTAGTTTTTATTATTCCATTCTATTTATCTTTTATTATTTATTATTTATTATATTGCTATTGCTATTATTCATGTATTGTGTGTTCCTTTTAGTCTCACATTTTAGTGTTTTACTTATTGTATTGTTTTTAGTGTACCCAGTGTTTCCTCTGGAGGAGCCCTCTGCACCGGGAGCAGTGGTCGGTGTGGCTGCGGGGGTCGGACTCTTGGGCCTGGTGGGGGCCTGGGGCCTCGGTTTCATGTCTCCTCTGGGTCCTGTGTCGTCCCCTGTGGCTACAGGCGGCTCTCTGCTCCTGGTGCAGACGGCTCCTTGGATGACGCTTTTTCAGCTGGTTGCATCTGAACCCTGCCAAGTCTCTCATCATGTTTTTATTGTTTTACTGGTGTGTGTGTGTGTGTGTGTGTGTGTGTGTGTGTGTGTGTGTGTGTGTATGAGTGTTCATGAGCGCGTGTGTGTGTGTTTGTCTGTGGTTTGGGGGGGGTCTGTTGGGTGGTCTGGGGGAGGGGTCTTGGGCCGGCGGGATTGTTTTTAACCAATCTGTAAAGCACTTTGTGTTGCATCTTATGTATGAAAAGCGCTTTATAAATAAAATTTGATTGATTGATTGATATGACGCAGGCGAAACACGTTGTTTTAAATATTGGAACAGCGTCGGAGAATGTGTGAGGAGAAAGCCGAAGGAGACTCTGTCTGTGCGCTCCGTGTCCTGTCCCACACATGGATCTATTATAATAACGGCCCTGTTCAGCATTGTGGACAAATCATGGATCTATAATAACCACGGGACAAACAGACGCTGAGGATAAGGTAGGAACCAAAGAACACAATTCACTACATGATGCGGAATATTGCTCTTTGAGACGTGAGTCAAACAGTGTCAGGCTTTTAATAATGCAAATGGTTTGAAGATGCTGCCATTAACATCAATGTATACTGTGAACAGTTTTAACTCCATAAGCCTGTTGCACAGCGTCTCCTCACTGCTCCAGGTCTGCACACGGCTCAGTGTGGTTGTGTAGCGTTAGCAGCATAGTTAGCAGCATAGTTAGCCGCTGTGACGCATGGGTAATTCCTCAGTTTCTGTCTGCGGTGCTTGTTAAGCCCAAAAAATGCGCACGTATCTTGGAGTTGTGTCGGATCGACACCGGATGTATTCAGACCTGATTCGACTTGGACCAGAATTTGTTTGGAAGCGGACCGAGACCACCTCAAAAAGTGGGTCTCGGTTCGGTTCTTTGGTCCGGACCAGGATTTGTTTGTGTGTATTCAGACCTGCATAAAAGCTTCGGATCAGAGTTCCAAACGAATTCTGGTCCGTTTAAAGTGGAGCAAATGTGCAGGTCTGAATACACCCTAAAATAAAGGACTGTGCTGATGATCCAGGACACTTTAACATTCATTCACATCATAGACATTTATCAACATTCATGGACATTGTGTATTTTCTCTGTCTTAACTGTTGATTCTCTGATCTGTGTTGGTGATTTCAATGATTTTGTTAAGTCCTCTGAGATGACTGTTGTTGTGATTTAGGACTATACAAGAATACATTTTATTGTATTGTATTGTATTGCCATCGGCCCCTCCCACCACCACCAAACATTCACACACACACCAGACTCATAGGCACTAGAATACACAATACTTTATACTTGCTTCTTATTATGCCAAATGTATGGTCATCTAACCCCTGAACAAAGGTACAGTATGTGCGCGTTCACCTCAGCGCGGGGGGAGGGGCTATGAAACTATGTGTAAACTCTGACCTCTGGCTGTTGTTCTCTCCCTGGGTCATTCATCTTCATTTGCCTGTGGTAAACTGTACTGTAAGGATACAACTATAATAGATCCGTGACTGTAAGGTATTATACTCATAACATTTTTGAAGTGTTTGGACACACCCCACTTTTCTGCAATGACGTCCTTTCAGTCAATGCTTTGTTTCAATAAGGATCAAGAGACTTATCGCGGCGCTCTGTTATGAAAGTCACACTGGAATGTACCAGGAAAGATTAAAATTTCGAGCACCATCATAATTATGTACATTTACCAGATCACTAAAGTAAATGTTACGTAAAAGTGTTTTTTCAATTTCTCACACATTTATAGAAGTTTTTCCTTTACCCTTTAATAGTTTCCTCATCCATTTGGTGGATCACTTTTTGAGTCAGCTTGGAACTGAATTCTTCCTCTTTGGGGCATCTCTATCACTTGGTTTTACTTTTACCATCAAACTGCATCTCAACCATTTGGTAAAGTCCTATAATTAAAAAAATAGGTGTTAAAAAATGTGTTATTAGTGCTCCTACAAAAAATCATAAACAGCTAAATGTACATTTTTTTTGTGGAAGATGAATGTAAGTGTTAGGTGTATATAGGTTTCTTATAAAAGTTTATTTTGCTTTTCTATTTATTTGGTTTAGAATTGTTTTGTAAATTTGCAAATAGTAATATTTTTGTTTTCTCCAAAATAAGGTTTTTTTTTTACACTTTTATACATTGGTTTTATTTTGTAATTTTGTTATCGCGAGAATCTGTGAGAACTGGGGTTAATAAGGGGCCCTCAGGTAGACGCTCTCTCGTGCTCAAAGGCATCAGAGCGAGAGCCACTTTCACAGTGAGAAAGCAACTGTATGAGGTATTTATTTGTACATGTGCAATTTTATTGTGTGTTTACGTTTGTGTTTTTAATTGTATTTTATGTTGTGTAGAGCTGAAACGCACATATTGTTTTCAAGTTAAGTTAAAGACCTCCGACTTGACAGGCGGCCACGAGGTAGCTAATTTAAAGTTTGTTTTTGTAAAGTAGACAAGAACTTGTGTTTAATTGCATATCTTATTTTGTCCTGTAGTTGAAAAGACATTTATGACACTTGTAAGGTCAATAAATGAGCCCGTACTCGAGAATCCGTGTGCAGCGTTGTCATTAATGAGCTACAATGAACCACACAGAGACAGGATCGGTTCGCACCAGAGCTCCTGGAAGTTTATTCAGTTTCCTTCAGGTTTCAGTTGTTTTCAGACAGTACAAAATCAGGAAATGGATTATATAGTCATTGTTACGTCACAGATACGTCACACACAGAAAGTGTCGCATCAAGAGACAATCGGAGTTTTAACATGGATACACAAGGACACAATCGAGTCCTTGTGAGGGCCAGATATTTTGTCTTGCGTTTGTCCACTTGCGTAGGCCATACCTATCTATCCACCATACTTTCTTCAAGGGGTGAACATTAAAGGGTTAAACACAGACCATAATTTGGAAATAACTTTAAACAGGCAGTTTAAAAATGTACATATTCAAACTATTGTTAACATAAATCAATCAATAGCAACAGTCACTTAAGATATTTCTAACCAAAAATAAATCCAACAATACAATTAGCAGAACCATTTCATCATCAATTGTAAACAAGTGTCGCTATACCCCTCTCAAATCATAAAACAGTGTTGTGGGACGATGAATTCTTGCAAAAACATGTAATCGAAATGAGTGGGTTTCCTATGAAGCTGCTTTTGGACTCAGACCAGTGCATTAGAATTCCTTGCATCACCAACGCTATGACCGGTCCAATGAGTGTGTCCTCCACAAATCTGCAGTGTCTTATAAAGTGAAAGAGTGCTAAAATAAGTGTTTGAGCCTCACTTAATGTTGAGCCTTTCAAGGACGCTGACTGACAGTTTATAAAGTCTCTGCAGTTTAGAGCCTTTGAAGCCATTCACTTTAACGGCATCCTCTTTTAATGCGGATACAACACACTGTCCAGTGGTTCCAAAGTGCTCTTTAAAGGACTTTGAAATAATGGACATGGAAGAGAGAAAGCTGCAATGGATTTGAAATGTTGAAAAATCCAAATAATTCTCACAATTACCCATTTGAAAACAACTATAATCAATGACTCCTTTTGAGAATGCCATTTATTTAAAATATAGTAGAACAACACAAAACAAATCCCCAAAGTATGATATCAAATGGCATTATTCATTCAGTCCATACACTGTTGTAAGCGGCTGCTGAAGTCACATCTGTCCTGGAGTAAATAAATGCCATCATCATACTATACATACCACACACACTAGCTACAGTTTTGCCACCCGTTCCGTCACAATGTATAGTATTTGACAAAGTACATTCATGTGTGAAGGAAAACTAAGCACGAGATAAACCTGAGAACTACGGCTCCAATGTGGCCCTCAGGAGGAGAAGTTTGCCCCTGCCTGCATTAGTCTATGTGGGTGAAGTGTCTTGCCGAACACATGAGGGTTTTGGACCTATGGCAGGTGTTCCCAGAAGTCTCCCATCACTGTGCTAATCCGGCCCTGTCCTGCTTACCTTGAGATTTGACAGTATCAAGCTTTCACAGGCAGGTGGAGCCACAAATAATTTACACATGAGAACCAATCAGATGTGCACAATGGATTAAGCAAAAAGCATCATCAAACGTTTATTTTGTCATTCAGATTAATTGAACATGCCTCATAACCATCAAAGGTACCTAGGTGTAATTTACCTTTTTTTGTAACTAAGAAATAGACAAGAGCTAAATATGACCCATAAAATTGCAGGATGTGGAGCCATAGCAGTAACATAATGGACATATTCACAGAAAACAGTGGGATATATTCAGTTATCTCCCCCTGTAACGACAAGAACAATAGTTTAAGTCCCATACATCAGTAATGCAGCATGCACAGTGTGTGTCTGTCACTCACATGTGATCGGTCCAATGGTGAGGGGCTGGATTGTAACGCCTTCAGAAACTGAGCGCCGAGCCCTCCCTGAACAAAACTGTTCAAAGAGAAACACATCAACATAGAACACTTCAGGATAAATTTATCAAAAAAAGACATTGAGAAAGATAGAGTTGGAAAATTGGGAACGCAGTAATATCAAGACATGGTCAAAATAATTACATCTAAAAATGTCGGCCATCCTTGATTAGAACAGAAAAACTGCCACCCCCTCACTCATTGTTGGTGGTTATGCTTAGCCATATAGTGTCAAATAAACATGGTTGCCCAGGAATTTACTGGAATTGTAGCCTTTTTAACCAAGACAAATGGACATCCGTACCATCAGAGAGGATAAAGAGCCATACCCACAACTACCATGAAGGACTCCAATGGCTATATTAGAATAAATTAAATGGAATACTTGGATCCAAACCCGAACAGAAGCGATATGTTATCAGATGTTTTTATCCGAGCCCAACACAGTTCAAATCTTATGTTTCCCTCATCTTAATAATACATACTTTATTTTGAAAGCCCACTTGAGCAACTGTAGGGCTGACGTGACCGAATTCAATCCACCTTGACAATTATTTCTAAATATCTTTCGGGCCCCTCCTGGACTAGCCTAGCCTTAGCCAACAGAACACTACGGTCAATTATTATTTCCCTAAATAAGCAAGCGGGGGAGGCGGGTGTTGTAGGTAGGTGTTGTGACGTCAAGTGTTTGCGTCAAATTTGCTAGTTCTAGTTTGCCAATGGTGCTGACATGAAATTAGTACGATGGTGTGGTAAGGGCTAATCCCAGACATCTCAAAAACATTTCTCCTGTGTTGATGGAGGCACTCACCGGGACACAGGGGCCAGGGCTGCACAGCTTCAGGTGGCAGTGTAGGTAGATGCTTCTGTACTGACCCCCAGGTACAAAGAACAGGGCAGAGAAGCGAGCACGAAGAGAAGTGCCACTTTCTACCACCAACACTTGCTGAGGGTTAGAGGAACACCTGCAGGAGAAAACCGCAGAGAACAGTTTAAATATTGCATGAAAAATATTACAACTACATTCAAGATATGACATTTTGTTACTTTGTACGTCTACTAAACTACAGTTGATGACATCTGTTGGCCTTCCACCACATTAACAGTTCATATGCTGTGTCTAAAACAACAAGTAAACTGCAGATCCAGTCTTGGCTCAATAAACTCAGTCAGTGTGACAAGTGGTAGATATATGACGAAAAAAAGAAAGATAGATGATCGTGAGCTTATAATTTCCTTCTATAATCAGACTAGCTTAATATATGAACTGCTTTTTTGTGTATTAATACCCTGGTCCACAGCAGTGCACTATTTTACATCATCACAGAACCAGACGTACTTGTTTTGGATGAGAGGATGTCTTGTTGGGTCATTTGGGTCGGAGGAGAATGTGCTGTAGCAGTTGTCCAGAACCGTCGCAAAATTGAGATCGTTCTCCTCCACAATGGCTCCAACGTACAGCGGCTGGCCCACAGGCAGACTGACACTATCGGATGGATATGCGTTGGAAAAATTTGAGTCCCGGTAAAGAGACATGAATGCTCTTGGGGCCCGACCTGATCTGACAATACCCCCAGATGGTCTGGAAAAGAGAAAATACATAGTTACATTTATGGATCATGGTATCAAAAATGTGTTAAACTTACAGTAAAGGTCTGAGGGCAGCATCGAGTCTGGTGTCTACCTCCAGAGGATACACACAGGAGAATGGGAGACTTGCGGGGACATGGAAGGAATCATTGTGAGCATAGAGGAATAAGCTGTTGGTGTAGATGACGTGTGTGCTGTTGGTCTAAAAATAAAACAATCAATGAACATATGCATCTCTGACAATAGAGTTTAACCCTTAGAGAAAAGTCTTTACCCTCCTGGTGTTTCCACAGACTCCTACTCGTGGCACGACCTCATACCACACTATGTCGTTCTGAACTCTGGTACGGACACAGTTGCGGTCCACCAGGTGACCAGAGAGGGCGTCCAGACCAGCCACAGACACTGTTGCTCTGTTCAGACTGACTTGTATTTGTTCTTGTCCACAGATAAACTGGTTGATTTGTATTTCTGGTTCACGCACTACAAGACAAAGAATTGGTTTCTGAATTGGAATAAAATGCACAAACTAAAACATGTTGCAGACTTACTTTCACAGACAACACCAGCATCTTCATGATGCCCACAGTTGTGATTTCCAAATCCGTTGTGACGACAGTGTGTGATTGATGGCTCAGATCCAAAACACTGGACATCGTCCATCCAGATGGGTCCACTGCCCTGACCAAATGCTGCATTTTGAGGTGCAGATCGTGCCCTGCCACAGCCCAGCTGCCTGCACACTACATTGGCATCATTCAGGTCCCAGGAATCGTCACACACTGTGCCCCACTGCCTGTTGTGGAACACCTCCACTCTTCCCGAGCAGCGGTCTGCAGAGTTCACCAGCCGCACCGGAGACAGGGCTGAGGAGACAATCAACCTTTGTTAAAGAGACACAAATACTCATGAACACAGAGTCCACAGTGAAAAGAAATGACTTTACCTTCACAGACCACACCAGCGTCTTCATTGTGACCACAGTTATGAACACCCACACCTCTGTGACGACACTGAGAGAGTTTATGCTCTGATCCTGTACACGCCACATCATCCATCCAAATGGGACCAGTGCCTTGTCCAAAGTGAGCCTGCATAGGAGCAGAGAGCACCCTGCCACACCCCAGCTGCCTACAGACCACCTGGGCATCCATCAGGTCCCAGTCATCATCACACACGGTGCCCCACTGCCCCCGCTGGAATATCTCCACCCGTCCAGAGCAAGAGCTGTTTCCCCCATTGGCCAAACAAACCTGCCCCTCGCCCCTAGTACTGCTACCATCAGTAGTAGTAGGATAAGCATCAGTAGTAGTAGGATAAGCATCAGTAGTAGTAGTATAATCATCAGTAGTAGTAGTATAAGCATCAGTTGTAGTAGGATAAGCATAAGTTGTAGTAGGATAAGCATAAGTAGTAGTAGGATAAGCATCAGTAGTAGTAAGATAAGCATCAGTAGTTTGTTTTCCTGCTTCTGAAGAGAGCAGTCGTGTGTCTCTCGGCTCTGCTTTTGCTTCGCCTTTTAATCTCCTTGAATCATTTTATTTACATTTTTTTGTTTCTCCTTTAATCATTTTATTTACAAAACGAGGATTACTCCTTCTACACACTTCAGCTTTGTGGAATTTATCAACTTTAGTCATGTCGGGACGAAAGAGACGGAGAAACGTGTGCGACGGCTGTTGTGCTTTGGAAAATCAGCTCAAATCTCTTCAAACACGGATATCTATTGTGGAAACAGAAATGGGACTTAACTATGGAGCTATTATTGTTTCAATAATATTTGTGTGTGCGTAAAAAGATTTGTGCGTGCGTAACCAGATTTGTGCGTGCGTAACCAGATTTGTGCGTGCGTAACCAGATTTGTGTGTGCGTAACCAGATTTGTGCGTGCGTAACCAGATTTGTGTGTGTGTAAAAGAAATATTTGTGCGTGTGTAAATAGATTTGTATGTACGTATCAAGATTTGTGTGTGCGTAAAAAGGTTTGTGTGTGCGTAGAAAGATTTGTGTGTGTGAAAAGAAAAAAAAAAGTAAGTTTTACACACAAGTTTTTTTTTTACACACGAATCTTTTGACGCAGTCCTGCCTTCGCAGATTCGCAAGTGTAACTTGGACTGTGTGCGTGCGTAAACAGATTTGTGTGTGTGTAATTTGACATTTGTATCTGTAACAGAACAATCTGTGTGTAAATAACCGCGTTGTACAAAGAGAAGAACGGGAAAAAGCCTAAGTGCTACGCACAGGCTCTGTTTTACACACGAATCTCTTTTTGACACACCTCTGCCGCCAAGCGTGTGTCAAAAAGATTTGTAAGTGTAATGTGGTTGTTCTAGCAGTACACCAGCAGATGGTGCTGTTGTAGCTGGTTATTACCTACACGCAAGCAAACCAACAAGTGTAGATAGAGAAAACCGAAGGGTTTAAGAAGAAGAAAAGTTCAGGATGACAAGGAACACTAAAATTCCCACAAAATCCGACCTTTATGAAAGCTGTAGGTTATCTGTCAGCTGTTTTAGTTTACTTTGAGTTCTATGGGGAAAATTTCTGTGTAGCCAACGTGAATTTAGTCTGCAGTACGTGAGAATCCCTCAGCTCCAAGCTAGTAACACCCTATCAAGTTATTACAATACATCCATGTATCATACAGTGGTGTGAATGACAGGATTTTGAAAATAGGAAAAAAATATCATAAACAGCTGCGGTAGTGTGTCTTGTCAAGGCAGTAGGTTTTGGTTTGCTTGCGTGTAGGTAATAACCAGCTACAACAGCACCATCTGCTGGTGTACTGCTAGAACAACCACATTACACTTACAAATCTTTTTGACACACGCTTGGCGGCAGAGGTGTGTGTCAAAAAGAGATTCGTGTGTAAAACAGAGCCTGTGCGTAGCACTTAGGCTTTTTTCGTTCTTCTCTTTGTACAACGCGGTTATTTACACACAGATTGTTCTGCTACAGATACAAATGTCAAATTACACACACACAAATCTGTTTACGCACGCACACAGTCCAAGTTACACTTGCGAATCTGCGAAGGCAGGACTGCGTCAAAAGATTCGTGTGTAAAAAAAAAACTTGTGTGTAAAACGTACTTTTTTTTTTCTTTACACACACACAAATCTTTCTACGCACACACAAATCTTTTTACGCACACACAAATCTTTTTACGCACACACAAATCTTGATACGTACATACAAATCTATTTACACATGCACAAATATTTCTTTTACACACACACAAATCTGGTTACGCACGCACAAATCTGGTTACGCACACACAAATCTGGGTACGCACACACAAATCTGGTTACGCGCGCACAAATCTTTTTACGCACACACAAATATTATTGAAACAATAATAGCTCCATACTTAACCCGACTTTTCCAATGAGTGAAAATGGGATGAATGGACAGACTGGAAATGTAAGTTATGACGTCATTTCTTTTCCCAAAATCAACAATGAGAATTATTGGAACTATTGTGGAGCTAAACCCAAAGTTGACAAAGCTAAGAATGACAATAGGAGTGAAATAAGGCCACAACTAAATGTTCTGAAGACTTCAAACCGCTTTTTACCCCTTTCTGAAACAACAAAGCCGCTAACAACTGCAGCGCCTCCACCAAGGACAAACTGTGTCCTTATCGGAGATGGTTCGGTGAAAAATGTAAACATGGAGTCCATGCTCACTATCTCAGTTCACTCTGCAAAAGTTGCTGAGATAAGGTCTCTTCTGCCTAAAGTGTTATCTGAGAACAGTGGTGTGCGTACATTATTGATCCACACGGGGGCGGTAGATATCTATGAGAAGGCAAGCGAGAAGTTACGAATGGATTTAACGCTGTTACTGGATGACCTCAAGAAAATGGACATAACAATTTTCCTTAGTGGCCCACTTCCAAATATAGGATGGAAAAATGGAGAAGTTTAGCCGTCTGTATCAGCTAAATACATTCCTACTCAATGAGTGTTCACGCAGAGGACTTGGCTTCATTGAAAACTTTAACCTGTTCTGGAATAGGCACTAGCTTTTTGAAGAAAAAGGCCCACATCTGAACAACTACGGAGTAAAAGTGTTGATGGATAACTTTGCATCTGCCCTAAGACCTCAGCCTGCGCAGCGCGTGCAGCCGTCGAAAGGGAGAAAGAAGAAGCAAAGGGCACAAACATCACGACCATCTCCACCAACTCCCGAGGTCTCTGCACCCCCACCGCCTCAAAAGAACTCCACTCCTCCACGATTCAAGAAGAACTCAACACCTCCAAGGTTCCAAAAGAACTCAACACCTCCACGGCTCCGAAAGAGCTCAACGCCTCCACCACCAGCACCATCAGCAGCTGCCACATCTTCATCAGCGCCATCAGCATATACAGCACCACCAGCAGCAGTGGATACAGCCGCAGCAGTGGCTGCTCCATCATCTTCAGCAGCAGCAGTGGCTGCTCCATCATCTTCAGCAGCAGCAGTGGATACAGCCGCAGCAGTGGCTGCTCCATCATCTTCAGCAGCAGCAGTGGCTGCTCCATCATCTTCAGCAGCAGCAGTGGCTGCTTCAGCAGCAGCAGTGGCTGCTCCATCATCTTAAGACCTCATCATCCTAAGACCTCAGCAGCAGTGGCTGAGGTCTTAGGGCAGATGCAAAGTTATCCATCAACACTTTTACTCCGTAGTTGTTCAGATGTGGGCCTTTTTCTTCAAAAAGCTCGTGCCTATTCCAGAACAGGTTAAAGTTTTCAATGAAGCCAAGTCCTCTGCGTGAACACTCATTGAGTAGGAATGTATTTAGCTGATACAGACGGCTAAACTTCTCCATTTTTCCATCTATATTTGGAAGTGGGCCACTAAGGAAAATTGTTATGTCCATTTTCTTGAGGTCATCCAGTAACAGCGTTAAATCCATTCGTAACTTCTCGCTTGCCTTCTCATAGATATCTACCGCCCCCGTGTGGATCAATAATGTACGCACACCACTGTTCTCAGATAACACTTTAGGCAGAAGAGACCTTATCTCAGCAACTTTTGCAGAGTGAACTGAGATAGTGAGCATGGACTCCATGTTTACATTTTTTCACCGAACCATCTCCGATAAGGACACAGTTTGTCCTTGGTGGAGGCGCTGCAGTTGTTAGCGGCTTTGTTGTTTCAGAAAGGGGTAAAAAGCGGTTTGAAGTCTTCAGAACATTTAGTTGTGGCCTTATTTCACTCCTATTGTCATTCTTAGCTTTGTCAACTGCTGAAGATGATGGAGCAGGTACTTAACAACTACGGTACTTAACAACTACCGTCCCATCTCAAATCTGCCATTTATGGGGAAAGTCCTTGAAAAAGTTGTCTACCTACAGCTTACTAGATTTCTTATAATCAACAACTCATTTGATATGTTTCAGTCCGGCTTTAGACCCCACCACAGCACTGAGACTGCTCTCGTCAAGGTTACAAACGATATCCGGCTAAGCACTGACGCAGGCAAAGTCTCAATCTTAATCTTGTTAGATCTAAGTGCTGCCTTTGACACTGTCGACCATGAGATCCTCTTACAGAGACTAGAGGACTGGGTTGGCGTCGCTGGCACCGCCCTAAGTTGGTTTAGGTCTTACCTTGAAGACAGGAAGTACTTTGTGGAGATTGGAAACTAAAAAACATTGCCAGGATCAAAAACATAGTGTCTAAAGCAGACTTGGAGATTCTTATCCATGCATTTGTCTCCAGTAGGTTAGACTACTGCAATGGCCTGCTCACAGGTCTGTCCAAACCGGCTGTAAAACAGCTGCAGTACATTCAAAATGCAGCAGCTCGAGTCCTGACAAGAACCAGGAAGTACGACCATATTAGTCCGGTCCTCAGGTCTCTGCACTGGCTTCCTGTGGCTCAGAGAATAGACTTTAAAACAGCTCTGCTTGTGTACAAGTCTCTCCATGGCCTCGCACCAAAATATATTAGTGACATGTTAGTCCCATATGAACCAGCCAGGACTCTGAGGAGCACAGGGACTGGACTCCTGTTAGTGCCCAGAGTCAGAACTAAACATGGGGAGGCTGCTTTTCAGATTCATGCTGCTAAAATCTGGAACATTCTTCCTGAAGATGTGAGACAGGCCTCCTCTCTGACTATGTTTAAAACCAAGTTAAAAACTGTGCTGTTTAGCTGTGCATACA